TGTTCAGGTCAGCTGTTTCTGTGGGTTTCACTGGACTTGTCTTGACCCCTTTGCTCATCTCTCTTCCCACTCCAGAGTTCAGTTCAGTGTTTAACTGTGGGTATCTGCTTCTGTTTCCATCAGCTACTGGATAATCTAGGATGGTATATAAGTTAGACACCAATCTCATTATCGGGGAAGGGTATTTAAGGTAGCCTCTCCTCTATTGCTTAGATTGTTAGTTGGTGTCGTCCTTGTAGATCTCTGGACATGTCCCTAGCACCTGATTTCTCTTTAAACTTATAATGGCTCCCTCTATTATGTTATCTCTTATCTTGCGCTCCTCTATTCTTCCAATGACTCAATTTTCCTGTTCCCTTATGTCCTCCTCTCCCCTTCTCTTCTCCCCTTCTCTTTCTCCTAGCTTCCTTTCCCATCCCACCATGTTCCCAATTTGCTCAGGAGATCTTGTCTCTTTCCTCGTTTCCTCGGAACCATATATGTCTCGTTTAGGGTCCTCCTTGTTTCCTAGCTTCTCTGGTGGTGTGGATTGTAGGCTGGTAATCCTTTGCTCTATGTCTAAAATCCATATATGAGTGAGTTTGACAACAAAATATCAAATGATAAAATGAAGAAGGGACATTATATTAAGCTAAAGTTTTCTTACAACACAGAAAACAATTAAAAGCATAGAAATGTAGGCTAGTTAATGGGGGAACTATTTGCAAATTCTTTGGTAAAGGGTTAGTGCCCCAAATATCCAAGAATCTCTAACAATTTGATACACAAAAATAAATAACCCAGTTAAACATAGGGAATGGCTTAAGTAGTTATTTTGTCAAAGAGAACACACAAAAACTACCAAGCATGTGGGAAAAAATCTGCAATTGGACTAATCACCAGGCAAATGCAGGGAAAGAGCGGTATTAGTAAACTTAAAGAGAACCTTGATTGAAAGATAAAAAGAAAACAAGATAAAGCTAAGATGGAAACATCTTCTCTACTGTCTAGCTTTCATAATGACAGAAGGCACCGATGGCCCTTCACATCTGTGAGTGCTGTGAAGTTCAATCACAATTTTCCAGGCAAGATGGGACTGCTTGTGCAGTAGTGGCATGGCTGTTATGGGAGTAACCAACTATGCTGCGATTGGAGGTCTGCTCTACAGATGGAAACTCGTGCATATACTGTAAAACCAGTCAAAGACATATGGCTAGGAAAGTCACAGACCCTACTAGGGAATTTGCTACTGATTAGTTAAATAGATGCAGTGATCAAACTGCCTTCTAAATATCAATATTTATACCCATAAAAACAATATTGATGGTATGAAAGTGGAATGTTGCATATTGTATAAAACTTTGTTTATTCTAAAACTTAAAAAAAGAACTACTATATTATCTGTTAGTAGTCAGGAATCTATACTGGCCTGTCCTTAGGGTTCTGACAGGATACATCGTCAGCTGCAGCCACTAAGAGCACCACCTGTGCCTATTCACTATGTTCCCTTTTAAAAGGGCCCTGCTCACCTCCCATTCTTCTCTCTCTCTTTCTCTCCCTCTCTCTGTTAACCTCCCTCATCCCCTCCTTCCTTTCTCCTCTTTTCCTGCTGCTCCTGTCTCTGGAGGCCAGTCTCCCCCTCTTCCCTTCCCTTTCCCATTTTTATGATCCCTTTCCCTAATAAAAACACCTCTGTTTGAACCCTGTTGCATGGTGTCTTTTCTTAAATTACAACACTAACAATAGTATTTCTTGGTGTGTATGCACAAATATCAAGTTAAGGATCTTAACACAAGATGAGTACCATTTTGTTCATTGTTCACATTAACTATGGCATGATGATAATTCAAATTTCTAAGAAAAAATGGCTAAATAAAGAAATGCATACAATGGAGTATTATTTACTCTTCAAAATTAAATAAATAAATCCTCCAGTAAGCCAGTCAGAGAGGAGTGAGCTCTACTGTTACCACTTACATGAAGTTTTTAATATAAACTTACACAGAGAATAGAACATGGCCAGAAGGTGGGGAGAGAAGAATTGGAAATTACTGCTCAATGGTATCAAGTGTCAGTTACATGAGATGAACTGTCAATGAGGGGTTTGTTATATTTTGTTTTCGAGATTATGATTGCAACATTCCCCTCTTCTCTTTCTTCATTCAAAACTCTCCTATACACCGCTTCCCACTCTCCTTCAAAATTACGGCCTCTTTTTTCATTGTTATTGCATTCATATATGTATGTGGATATACATATATAGTCTTAAATATAACCTGTTTAGCTTGTATAATGCTGTCTGTATGCATGTTTTACAAACTGGACAACCAAATGGTGTGTTCTTTCCTGAGGAGGGCTATCTCTGTTGCTCCCAGCTTTCTTTGGTTGCTTATAGTTCTTTGTGTAGGGTGTAAGGCCTCATGGGCTTTTCCCCATCCCATCTCTCCAGCTCCCCCTGTGTCCTTATACCCACAGATAAGTGTTGTCTTCGTCTCTCATTAAGGAAATTTCTTTTTGCAGTTAGTGAGATTTTTGAGAAGACATAAACATGATTCAAACTGAATTTTAGAAATCTCATTCTGACTTCTAACTAAGCATAGTAAGGTGAATGAACACACACACACACACACACACACACACACGCATATCCATTTGCTCCTAAATCTAGCAAAACATGAAAGTGACTTAAAAAGTGGAAAATTTATAAGGTCAAATAGAATGCATGAACAACAGGAAGTAAGAAATCACCACAGATATTTTGAAGGTGAATAGGACACAATATCACATAAGTTTTAAAAACCAAGGGTGCCTAAGAATAAGATGATTTAGTGTAACCTGCAGACACTTGGGAACTGCAGGTACAGTTACTCTTTGGAAGCTATACTCTCCAAACACATTAAAGATTTTTTTTTAAAAAATGCATGTGTGTATATGTATTTGCATGTATGTATGTGTACCTGTGTTTGTGTATGTATATGTGTGTATCTGTGCATGTGTGTTATTGTATATGTCTGTGTGTGTTATTGTGCATATATCTTTGTTCGTGTGTGTATGTGTGTGCATTGTGTGTTTTGTGTGTGTGTGTGTGTGTGTGTGTGTGTGTGTGTGTGTGTGTATATATATATATATATATATATAGTTTTAAAATCTTAAAAACAAATTTAATATGAAAAAATCTCCAAAAACAGAGAAATTTAGTGACTAGGACAAATATTTTAAAAGAGAAAACTTTTGTTCAGGAGAGATGAGGAAATGCTTGTTTGTTTAAAAGGAATATATACTTTTAGTAAAAAATAAAAAGAACATGGAAGAGTTCTTAGAAATAATGCAGTTGCGGAAGACAACCATTTTGAAGTCATCTAGAAAAACAAGACTAAACATGTAATAACTAGCTTTATTTATTTTGATTATTTTCTTGCAAAGGGCATCTACTGCTTTTCTCCAAAAAGTGGAGGATATTACTCCACGCTGGTAATGCTGGGCTGCATCCCATGAAGCTCATTTGTAGATAGAAGAGAAAAATGTCCTGGCACAGAACAAAATGAGAAATGCATGGAGCAGATACACCTGAGCAGCCAAGACTAGCTGACCCAGCCAAGTCACAAAGAGCTCCAGACAACTGGAACCCAAACAAACAGACTTTAAAAAAATAGACGTAGGTCAAACAACCAGCTAAAAAGCATTTCAAAGAGAGAAAATCAGGAAGGTAAAAAGGTGAGGTATTGGAAATTATATAGTGTAAGGAACATTCTAGAAATTCTGAATCTAAACTCCACTATCGAGAGTCCTGTGGCCGTTAATCTTGTCAATGTGATTGAATTGAAGCATGCCAAGAATCTTAACATAATACAACGTTTCTCACATTTTCCTTATCTTATGGTCTGAAAAAAGTGCTTTAGTGTGGATTTTTTGTATTCACTGGACTTGTCTATGGGGCATTTCCAGGATGGATTAATCCACCCTGAATGTGGGCAATGCTGTTCCATAGTTTGTTACCCTAACTGCAATGAAGAAGGGCAGGAGCCAGTTAGCACAAGCCCTCCCTCTCCCTTTGTTTTTTCGACTACCATAATGTGAGCTACGTATCATGGCTTCCTTGTCATTTATTTTGTTGCATCCATTTTAAGATTGAATAATACTCCATTGCATATATACACAAACATATATATAAGTATAAACCTATGTGTATTTACTCAATTCGTCTTCCATACTTCTGTTCATGAACACTTCCATTCTTCCCACATCTTGGCTATTGTGAATAAATAATACTATAGTGAATTTAGGAGTGTGTTTACCACCTGGGAGGACCTGATTTCATTTCTTTAGGGTGTTTTCTCAGTACCAATTGCTGGGTCACATGCTGGCACCAAGCTTAGCAACTACATTGGAAATCACCCCAAAGCTAAAGCCGAAACTGACAAATGGAAGTTCATTAACAAGAAAAGTCTCTGGACACCCAAGCAAAATGAAGAAAGAAGCCTATAGACTGGCAGAAAATTACATGTAAGCCAAACACCCAAAACACTGAGGAGTTCACAATCTCAACAGCAAAGAAACGAAACTCTCAAATACCCAATTATCAAATGGGCATGGTGATCTGAATGGGCATTTTCCTAAAAGGGATATACAAATGGCCAACATGTGTATGACAAAGGAACTTGACATTCCTAACCATCAGGGAAATGTCAATCAAAACCTCATGCAGGCACCACCTCACGCTCATGAGGATATAGCTACTACCAAACAGCCAGAGATAAGTATTGGCTTCAGGTATGGAGAAAAGGGATTGCTCGCACACCATTGCTGACGATGTAAATTGCGGTCATTATGGGAAGGAGCGTGCAGTTTCCTCACACATTAAAACTAGATTTATCAGACGACCCAACCTTTGAGTCACCTGCCTTTTATTTTCCAGCTACTAGATATCAAAGGCACGGGCTCAATGCCAGCACTGGCCTCCCAGGTCCCCATGCGGCCCGAGGCCAGCAGGGGGCGCCGTGACCACGAGGGGTCCCGCGGGAAGAGGAAGTGCCGGACCAGGCTGGCCCAGCTCAGGGTGCACCCAGACTCTCCTGGGCCGGCTGAGCGCGGTCGGTTCCGGGTCCGGTGACTCGTGACAAGCGTCGCCGAGTGCTCAGAGAGGAAGGATCTGCCCTGACAGCGTGGTGGAAGATTTCTGGTGCCCATGGCGGGCGAGGGATTCAGGCAGCTGGGGACGACAGCCACCCCGGCGCCCGAGACCCGAGAGCACCTCTTCAAGGTGCTGGTCATCGGCGAGCTCGGCGTGGGCAAGACCAGCATCATCAAGCGCTATGTGCACCAGCTCTTCTCCCAGAACTACCGGGCCACCATCGGGGTGGACTTCGCCCTCAAGGTCCTCAACTGGGACAGCAGGACGCTAGTGCGCCTGCAACTGTGGGACATCGCGGGTAAGCCGGCAGCGTCCCAGTGCCACCAGACTCTCGCTCCTCTCTGCCTCCTGGTTCCTCTCTTTTCTTTTCTCTGCCTGAACTCCCTGAGGTGCGCTTTTAGAAGTGGACAAATGGAACGGGAAGATAAGTGACTCCTGGAGGGGTTGAAAGGGTCCTGGAAAGTCGGCTTTGGGAGGCCTATCGCTTCCTATACTGAAGTTCTGGGCGACTAAAGGACTTGCCTGGAGTTCCACTACCAGTTAGGGCAGGGGCTCTCAACACTGGGGGCGACGAACGACCCATTCACATGAGGTTGCCTACGACCATCAGAAAACACAGACATTTACATTATGATTCATAACAGTAGCAAAATTACAGTTATGAAGTAGCAGTGAAAATAATTTTATGGTTGGGAGTCACCACAACATGAGGAATTGCATTAAAGGATTGCAGCATTAAGAAGGTTGAGGATCACTGTGTCAGGGATAGAACCAAACCCAACAAAACCGGGCTGCTTTCGACCACGTTCTCCCTCTCATCTGTCTTGGGTCTGTGCCCAGCTGATGTAAGGGGTTTCTCTCTCCTTGAGTCAAGAGATTTTACCTCTGAGTAATGACAGACCTGCTTATAATTTACTAAAAGGGGTTGGAACTATGAGTGAGAAAAGCTTGGAGCCCAGCCAAGCCTTTGTGAAGGGAAACTCCATTCCTGAAATTCCTCTCACTTGGGAGGCCTGGTGACCCTGAAGAAGGGTTGGGAAAGTTCTGAAACTTTCCCGATGCCTGGCCCTCCCTAAGCCAATCCTCAGGCCTTCCCCTGGGCACTTCCCCATGCCATAAACACTGAATTGTTACCTTTTGCTTTCACTTGTTGCTGTGAAATGTAGGAAACATTAATTGTCTTTGAGAGAACACCCTTCTGTGTGTTCTTGCTGGTGTGATAGGTGCTATATGGGCATACAACAAAAGGTGACCTTGTGTGAAGTTTAATGTAATGGTAGCAAAGGTTAACCTGTTTGATCATTGCATGTTCAGAACCTAGGTCTGCCAAGAAGCATTTGAATGGGAGCTTGTTTAAGATTGTAGAACACCTTGCCATGGGTTGTTCCCACGGAGTGCATATCATGAAGTCCCAGAGGGTGTGATTATACAGGTGGTGGCAGAGTGGAGGGACACTTGACACTTACACTGGGTAGTAAGTGCCCCGTTTTTGTTTATTTGTTTGTTTGTTTGATTTTTCCTAGCCTTCCACATGAAGAGGTGTGGAAGGATTATAAACTCTACACTCACTTGCTTAAGAACAGAGCCAATTTAGATAAGAAGATCTATGTATGCACAAGTCTCTCAGAAACTTACTTGGCCTTGGGCTCTACTTGTTTTATTTGTTTAAAAAAAAAAAAAAAAGCTAAGAATCCATTGGAAGTGCCATCCATTCTTTAAAGCAAGAGGCCTCATTTGAAACCCTGTCTGAAACTGCTCAGAACATTGAAGAACAGGCTATTGGTTCTTCACAACTTCTCACAACCTGAAGGTTGTCTTACCCTGTCCAGTGCAGCTTTTTCACAGGGATGGTTTGAAACGCCTGTTACAATAGTAATTCAGTTTCTTTTATTATGGGTAAATCAGTATGTTACTACTAAGTATTAAATTACTTTTGGAGATTTGAGGAAACAAGAGCAAGAGTTTTGGATGCTTTTAATCCCAGCCCTTGGGACACAGAAGTAGGCAGATCTGTGAGTTTGAAGCTAGACTGATCTATAGAGTGAGTCCCAGGATAGCCAGGGCTACACAGAGAAACCCTGTATGGAAAAATAAGTAAGTAAATAAATATAGAAGAGTGTTTCCTTTCTGGGCATCATCTCAGCTCTTTGCTTGTCCTCCCCACTTTTACTTCCTCTCTATGTAGCAGAAGCTGGACCCCAACTCTAGATCCTTCTCCCTCAGCTTCCCTACGTTGGAACTACAAGAATGTACCGGTACACCTGGCTTCATCATTCTTCAACTGACACCATAGCCAGGAGGGAGACATAGCCCATCTGCCTCCCATGATGACACCGTGTTTGCACTCTTGCCAAAATCTGAAGCTTGAGCTTTGCTGGGAAAGAAAGAAACATTTTATAATCTCCAGAAGGGATCTCTGATGTTAGCTGCTCCTTTTCAACAGGAACTCTTGTAGTGTTCAGCAAATACATAACTCCAAATAACAACTAGAGAAAAACTTACTAGGTGTCTTAGTTAGGGTTTCTGTTGTTGAAACATCATGACCAAAAGGCATGCTGGGGAGGAAAGGGTTTATTCAGCTTACACTTCAACATTGTTCATCACTGAAGGAAGTCAGGACAAGAACTCAAACAGGCCAGGAATCTGGAAGCAGGGGTTGATGCAGAGGCCATGGAGGGGTATTGCTTCCTGGCTTGCTCCTCATGGCTTGCTCGGCCTGCTTTCCTATAAAACCCATGACCACCGGCCCAGAGATGGCCCCACTCACAATGGAATGGAACCTTCCTCATAATCACAAATGAAGAAAATGCCTTACAGCTAGACCTTAGGGAGGCATTTTCTCAATTGAGGTTCCTTTCTTTCAGATGACTCTAGTTTGTGTGTCAAGTTGATATAAGATGAGTCCGTACATGTGGTACCTATACACTTTTAGCCTTTTCTCATAGAGTCAGAGTTTGGGGCATGCAGATGACAGGAGACACAAATAACTTGGATTCAGGCTGGAATTTGCACAACAACAGCCTCAACTGTGCTTGGTTTGAACATTTGAGTTAGTAGTAAATTCTGCTTAGCTTATACCATTTGGATGAGGAAAAAGTTGTATAATGAAGACCATGGCAAAACACTTCCCCAAGGCTAAGCAAATGCCATGTATGATTACAACGTTGACTCATACTGAAGTCTGAAAGAATAAAAGTTTTCCCTGAGTTGCAAAACAAAAGGAGGAGCCAGCCATATGACATGACTCAGCTGCTAGTTCCTTTTCAATGCTGTTGTTCTGGAGGCTGCAGAGGTGGACAGGGCCATAAAAAAGAAAACAATAATAGTAATGTCAACCATCAGAAAAGCTTTGAAATGCACAATAGGCAAGAATTATGCAATGCTTTCTGTAAAGGGAGCCAAACAGCTTCATGTAAATCCTTCAAATTAAGGGTCACAGTAGCTTGCTGGTACAGGCCACAGCAAAGTGTTTTTCCTTGCCTCGAAGGAACCTAAATTAGAACATACTTCACACTGTAGACTCATGACAATTAGCATTTTTTCCTACCTTCATTCCAAAGTCTCCAGTCACTGTTCTTCTTACTTAGGAAGTTCAGAAATCCCGCAGTAGGCAGTTTTTGATAGGCTGCACCCTTTTAAAATGCATTTTGAAAGACTTTCCACTATGGACTACATGTGGTAAGTTGTTTATTGGTACATGGCTACAAGAACACACCCTATAAAAACATCAAAGCAATAATTGTGGATGTTTTCCTGGTCTCTGGTAAACAACCACTGATGAAGTCTGAGCCACGTATGGATTGGCTCAGGAATGAAGTGTTGTTTTCAAATACATTCTTGGAGAAATTGTATCCATTGTGTATACTTTATACGGACAATTTGATTGGCTTTTTATAAACTTCCCATATAGAATTTTCTGGGTTTTTTTTCATAAACGTGGGAGACTTCTGTGAAGCCATAAATCAAGGAAACATGTTTTAGGATTCACCCAAGTGTTCTCATCAAAAGCCTTTTACCCTTTGACTCAGCAAGCCAGGCAGGAGTGGCTCCTTTCTGAGACAGAGATGGGGGGCGGGATGGTAGATATCAAAGATGTAGCTTTGTGGTTTCTATTGGTCATTTTAGCTGACAGCCTGAATTCTCTCTTACCCCATCCTCCCCTCCCCACAGAATTCTCTCTGGATAGTTTATTTATGCATCCTCTACCATAGCTTGTGACTGCTTCTTGAGAGTACTCTGAATATGCTGGGGTTCCTATTGTGATTATCTGGAATCTCTCATCAGAACCACAGGGGCCTAAGCATCCATTGTCTGAAGCATCACAGACTCCTTAGCATCTGCTGTGTCACCAAACTAGGCTTCAACTGACAACTGTGTTCATTGGGCCTGGATCAGCAAGAGTTACTCCTTTCACACATAAGTCTGGGGTTAGGCATTCCAGGACAGGTGAACTATACCATAAGATCTTCATAGACAAAAGCTGGCTTGCCACTACTCACTTATTCTAAAACTGTATTATTTGTTTCAGTGGTCCAGTAAAATGGGCATGTCTACATGCAAGGGCAGTTAAGAGATATATGGCTCGTGTTTTAAACTGGGCATGGAGCTTGCTCCAAACTACTCTGTACGGGGAAGTTGGGGCTAACAATTAGCCACCCTTCATACCTGCCAAATGGGAATTTGAAGCACTTGGGAGTTTGTCACCCATCACACACACATGCTGTGTGTGATTCTGATTTCTACTGAAGCTGAGAAGCATTGCTCTATCTTGGGCTCTGTTGCACCCTGGCAACACACCCACATTCCCATTACACTCCAGGAACTTACCACTTAATCAGACAGCCTGCTTGGCATCCACGTTCCCTCACACTCACACCTCCCATGGCCTTCACTTCAGTTCCCAGATTCGCAGCACTTCCATAGAAGTGCCAACAGGCCATCCTCATCCCCAGGAGCCTCTGGCGGAGGCCATTTTATGGACAAAAGAGGAATTTACATATAGAGACAGGATACTTTTTGTTCCTGTTGAATACATGTGTTTAAAGGATCAGGAACAATGTCATAATCTTTTAAAGCTATCATGAATGTGAATACGAATTAAAAGGTATTTTTATTTTCATAGGTAATCATCCTCTTATAATCTGACTGGAGATTGCCTGTTGACAGTACTTTGTCTCTGAAATGTGCCATGAGATTTAAGGGTTTTCTTCAGGAGACCTTCCATTTAGTAATTAGAAACTGGACATTTCTTCCAAGTCACCTTGGGTAGTTAATGGGTAACTCCTGTTTACTCTCAGTAAATGGAGAAGAGGTGAATACCTGAAAGTGGGGAAACTAAGCACTTTTTACTCTATTGCTCTGGGGTTTTGTTACAAAATTTTTATTTTGAATTTCTACTAACATTATTGAAACATTTGGATTTTCAAACAGGAGACACAAATATAATAGACAGGGAAAACCCAAGCAAGTCATGATGGAAATCCCAAAACCCGTTTCTGTGAATTGTGCATCTCATAACAGCAGAAAATGCTATGTTCTTTATTAAGTCTGAGGCAAACACATTCATTAAGATTTTCATATGTTTTAAAGAGATAAGACAAACGATTTTGTGTGTGTGTGTGTGTGTGTGTGTGTGTGTTTTACTCAAATGGGAATGTCTATTCCTAGAAAAATACTAGTTTTGCTGTCTTATCCCCCTCAGTGTCATTATTGTGTAGTACTCCAAATAGCATTATAAATATTTTAATCCTTTGCCAACTTAAGATATTTTTTTAAATTTTTATTTATATCTTTTTAAGATTTATTTATTTATTATGTATACAGTGTTCTGCCTGCATGTACACCTTCATGCCACAAAAGGGCATCAGATCTCATTATGGATGGTTGTTGAGCCCACCATGTGGTTGCTGGGAATTGAACTCAGGACCTCTGGAAGAGCAGCCAGTGCTCTTAACCACTAAGCCATCTCTCCAGCCCCCCAACTAAGGTATTTTTAAGATTTCAGCATTTGCATATGTAAGAACTTGTGTGATATCTTTGGAGCCTGCCTCACTCTCTCAGCACTTACTCTTCTTGTCCTTCATGCTTGCCAAAATTCCCAGTTATAATCAACATGCCTTCCTCCTGAGGCAATAGCACATTGTTTAAGAGACAAAACATTTGGAGAATCATTGAAAATGTGCTGTCAGTATGTCAGCAGCAATGTAGATGACAAAGGCTACCCCTAGTATCAGAGTGACTGGTGTACTCTGCAATAGGGGTCTTCCCTCAGCTACTGTAGTAAAGCACAAGATGACTGGGTGTGGGGGGGTGGGCACTGTAGCAGCATTGTACTGTGCTTGAGAAATCAAGTTAGCTACTGGTACTAACTGGTGCAATCAACCCAGAGAATTCATGTATCTCCTTGGGACTCCATTCTCTCATAAGAGAGCTGGACTAACTGGGTGCTTGTTCCTGTCTCCTAATTTCAGCCAGTAGTGTCTCTTTTAGCACTGCTCAAAGACATTACTCTTGCACTGAGATCCCTCTGAATTAATCTGAACTTGTTCAACACACCTATTAGAATGGTGAGCCCCTAGTTCTGATCAATTTTCCCATCAATGCAAGTTTTAACTCTCAACATGCACACTCTACAGGAAGCAAAGCCTCCCCAGCCTCCTCATAACTACCGAGGACAGGCTTCTTCCTTTACTCAGCTGTTTCTCATGCAAATATTCCATCAGATCCCAAGCCAGGCCCTGCAGCATCTGCAGGGTTTGTCTGCTTTCCAGTAATGTGTCTGTTCTAATGTTTTCACGACTGTTAACCACTGGTTTCTCTTCTTGCTTGGGTGTCCTCTTTCCAAACTTACTATGGATGCAAATCTTCACTGGGTAAGTGACTGACACTTGATTCCCCCCTCCCAAGTCCTCTCCTTTTCATCTGTTGAATTGTATAACTGACACCTTTTTCACTTAACATACAGGTTGTTGGTTTTTATTTTTTTATTGTTGTTGTTTGGTTGGTTGGTTGGTTTTGTTTGAAGTACAGTTTCTGATGTGAGACCTGTCAGGGAGAATTTGCTTCAAGTCTTGACATCTCATAGAATCTGTCTGACATTTCTAAGCCGAAATGTCTTCCCCCAAAATTCCTTATCATAGGCATTGCTGGTTTTGGATGAGTTACCAGAAAGGGCAAATGAGTACATCTTTTAAATCCGTGGATTATGATTAACAGAAAAATTATTTGGAATTTTCAGAAGATTCTCTCTCTCTCTCTCTCTCTCTCTCTCTCTCTCTCTCTCTCTCCTCTGTGTGTCTGTGATATATATATACATACAGCAAGAGTTATGAAAGCTTAGCAGCTCTTTAGAACATATAGTTAGCCATTATTTTACTAATTTGGCACCTTATCTTTTTGAAATGAAAATGGATGATCAAACTGAGAACATGTAATTACCATAAAATGCTAATCCTTCATATTTCTTAACCTATGACTATCTTAGTAGGAGTCACTTGTTACTACAGCCCTTTTGTGTTCAGTAATTAAAGTTCATAACAGGGGGTTCCTTTAGGCTCACTAGTAGAAGTTGAAGTCCAAACATCTTCAATGCTTCGGTCTAGTTGTTTTTGAAGACTTGGTGACCTTACCCTTAACCTTTAAAATACCCTGAATGAACATATCGATGTCATTGTTCAATGTACATTTATAAAGAAAGATAGGAGCCTAAGTTTCCATAGTTGTCAGCATTTATGATCAAATGAACTACACAGATAAACTAAATCAGATTTATCTTACCAATAAAAACAGGTTCCAACATATTCAGATGTTTGGACATATGAAGAGTCACAAGCCAAAGCAATATTTAAAAATATAATGGCATGATAGAATTTGGAGGAGAGAGGGTATTTGGAGTCTGGGGTAGCTTTGCATTTGTGTAAATAAAGTATAATAAAGATGTAGATGAAGCTTGTTCCTCAGTGTGTTTGAACAGGAAAAGTGGTGCTGTAACTATGCCTTTGTCTTAGATCACAGTGATAATCTTAGACTCTCATTGCTTGCCACTCATTCTCCCCCTCTGAATCTAGTCACTATTTTGACAACTTAAATATATGAGATTAAAAACTCAAGTCAACTGCAAGATAGTTCAGAAACTTAAGCCTGTCTCCTTTGGTGAGTGGCACCATGATCCAGACCATACACCTTTTTGTCCCTCTTTTCATCTGTCAGATGAAGATTGGTAGCCTTGTTATGTGAAAGACTTGTTTGGCAGCAGGTAGTAACAGCCTGCTTTGCAGGCTTGTCTGGATGTGCAGACAGTACTATATGGAGTAGCAGAATTTGTTCAGCAGTTAACAGAATCTCAGTTCTTTTCAAAGGGCCGTATCTAAAGAACTGTCCGTAGAACCTTCTCAAAACCATACAACCAGGTATGTGCCACTTGTTTGGAAAACAGGTTTTTCCAGCACCTGCTTCTAAGAGGGGATGAGGCAACAGCGGGTAGATATGGGGTAGAGGTGTAAAGGGAAGGTGAACTGAGATCACAAGCTACCTTGTCTCCTGTCCAGTCCCAATATTTTTGACTGGCTTTTTACCACATCATCTGTCTGTATTCTGTAATTAGGATGATTTTATTGTTGACTCCTCTTCCACTTCTACCTCTCTTTTTCCCTCATGCCTCTCCCTTCTTAGACTAATGGGAGAGAAAGCAGACCCATCTGTCTGTGCAGCCTGCAGTACTGGAACCCTGAAGAGTATGGTAAATGTATTCAACAAGGACTAGCTCCTCCTGTCAAGCAATTGTCAGCCACTTTTGTTAAGTCCCTGGGTTGCTGTTCTGTCTGGATGTCCTTAATCCCACCAGTGACGCTTGTTCCTTAAAATGGTTTTGAGGATCTTTGAGCATTCACCTGTACCTTAATATGATCCTCACCATCATGAATGTTTAACCTCTTTTGTATGCATTTCTAGGGCAGGAGCGGTTTGGGAACATGACCCGAGTGTACTACAAGGAAGCTCTTGGAGCATTTGTTGTCTTTGATCTCTCAAGAGGTTCCACATTTGAGGCAGTCTTAAAATGGAAAAGTGATCTGGATAGTAAGGTCCATCTCCCCAATGGCAGCCCCATTCCTGCTGTCCTCCTAGCTAACAAATGTGACCAGAAGAAGGATGGCGCCCAAAGTCCTTCCCAGATGGACCAATTCTGTAAAGACCATGGCTTCATTGGATGGTTTGAAACCTCTGCCAAGGTGAGCTGACTTTCCTGACAGATCTGTTTCCAAAACCCTTGTCAGGCTGGGCTGGGACATGAAGTGAATGGATGGATTTCTGCAAGGAGTTTTGTAAGCTCATAAATAACAAAATCATAGTGTGGATATGTGTCACTCCCCCTCTCTGAAGCAGAAGTGCTTTCAAAGTTAGCTGATGGGTCCATGAATAGACAAGCAGAACTGTCGTCCAGGGCAAAAATCGCATGACATTTTCTGCAGGTTTGAGTTCTTAACCAAGGTGTTTCTCTCCTGCTACTGGACTGAACGGGAGATAAGGTGTTTTGTCAAAGAGAAACACTTTTTGAGTCTTAAAAAAGGCAAAGAACAGGAAGAAATGTCTCTAGAAGTTGAATGTTATATGTAGTCATATATATGGCTCATAGTCAACAGTCACCAGCAGACTGGATAACAGCAAGCTTTAAGCAAAATGTCAACATTTACTCTGTGCTTCTTCCTGAATAATTGAATAGATTGTTTTCTCCTATCATTGGGAACTGCATTTTTTCTCTTTTAGAAAACAAAAAACACTAAGATAAATTTTCACAAGCTTAACCATGTGGAAACTAGAAAACTAAGGTTAAAAAAAAAATAAGAAATACACTCACTACTGGAGAGTTGTATTTTCTGGAATTGTTAAATAAAAGAATTCAATAATCATCAGACATGCCAAAAAAAAAAGTAATTCCCTTCTTGAGAAATTCTGTGATAATCATTCATTCCTTAATTTGCATATAATTTATACTGTTGAAGCTTATAATATGTGTGCTCTAGATGTATGTATTGTGTGTGTGTGTGTGTGTGTGTGTGTGTGTGTGTGTACATCGTTGTTCCTCCAAATACCCTTCCTGAGTGATGGTTTTTGGGATTCTTGTCAGGTTGCTTTCAGCTTTACTAGGCTCTTACCCTCAAGGTGGGAGATTGTTTAATGTCAGTTCTCATCAGAATGATGAAAGCAAGTGATGAGTGGCTGCATCATAGGGCAGCCTCTGAGTGTTGAGTGATGATGGAGTCACTGGCAGAAGAAAGTCCCTGAAGGCAGAAGTGAGCGGTCCCAGCCATACACTGTTTTGATAAATGCAGCATCTTATGTTGTCCTTGCTTTCATGAAAAGTTGTGGTGGAAGAATGATGGAGCCCAGAGGTCCTACAGGAGTTATTTAGCATGGCAGGAATGAGGAAATCACAGAAAAGGAAAGCCATCATGGAGAGACTGAATTTTCCAGGACTGTGCCTGTCTCTGCCCTGTGTACATACATGCCATATAAATTTGCTCTAACTTCCCACTGCAGAGTAGTGTGTGTGTAACTACATGTAAATGTTGAGGAATGTCCTATATTGCTTGTAAAATCCCATGTAGGATTTATTTGATCTCCTAGCTAACAAATTTAAATTTTATACAAAACCTGCCTATGAAATTCATAAATTATTGTCATAGGACCTACAATTTGAAACTGTAAGTGATTGGCTTTATTACATTTTTAGACAAGATACTATGTAGAAGGGGGGGGGCATGTTTATAAGTGAACATTCTCATGAGCGTCCACCTGATTTCCTGTGTGGCAACTCAGGAGTATTCTAGAGTCTAGAATCTCTAGTGTAACATTACTATGAGTTTTTACTTTAAAAGTTTGAAAAATCGAATCAAAGCTTTAAGTATTATGTGAGTATTACCAATAGATCTGCTTCCAGATCAGCCAGTAACTAACTTTCACAACTGGATTTTACTTGAATTCTAGTGCTATGGATTCTAATGGATACATAGTCAGAAGGTAGTATTGAGGTCACAGATTTAGTATTTTCTCCTTCATGGCACACATGGATTTTTATATGGAACTTTGCAACTCATTTCACTATAATATGGAATTTTTGGTTCCCACTTACCTTGGAATAACCACTGCTAAAGAGCTGTGTTTGAAGGAGAATATCCCCAGAGGCTCGTGTATTGAATACTGATGTATTTGATGGAACTGTTTGGTGAGACTTAGGAGGTATGGAGGAAGTAGATCACTCGGAACTAGCATTGAGATTTGAAAATCTCATATCATCCCCAGTTTTCTCTCTCTGCTTCCTGCTTATGGTTTGAGGTATTATCTCTTAGTTTCTAGTTGTCCCAGTTTCCATGCCTGCCTGCTGACATCCTTCCCCCTAGCGCATGATGGTGACAGCACCTCTGGGTTCCATCACAACTATCTATCTGTTCACAAAACTAAGGACAACATAAGACAATATATTTGCCAAAACAGTGTACGGTTGGGACCACTCACTTCTGCCTCGAGGGACTTTCCTTTGCCATCAACTCTATCATCATTCAATACTCAGAGGCTGTCCTGTGATGCAGTTGCTCCTCACTTGCTTTCATCATTCTGATGAGAACTGACATTGAATAATCTCCCACCTGTGAGCCCAAATACATCCTTCCCTCAAAAATTGCCTTGGTCATGGTGTTTTATCACAGCAACAACAATACAAATATAACTAATGATGAGTGGAAATGACAAGAGCTGAGCAACACTTTTGGAAATTCAAAGATCCTTGCTTCTGTTAAAGTTATCTTGGGAGTAAAGGTCTCAAACCAGTCCATGCTGTGAAAAACATCCTAAATAAACAGCATCCAGACAGTGGTGGTGCACGCCTTTAATCCTATCACTTGGGAGACAGAGACAGGCAGATCTCTGTGAATTTCAGACCAGCTTGGTCTACAGAGCAAGTTCCAGGACAGGCTCCAAAGCTACACCAAGAACACCTGGTCTTGGAAAAAATAAACAGCATCACTCCCAAATGAACAGCCCTGCTATCTGATAAAGTTTACACAAATAAGGGAGATAATTTCATAGTGTTGGATTTGGCTGGAGACATTAATATAGTTTCCTATTTTATAAATTTATGTGTGTATTCATATATATGCATTTATTTTCATGAATATTTATAAAAATACAAAAAAGATGTAGGTGGTGTGTGTGTGTGTGTGTGTGTGTGTGTGTGTGTGTGTGTGTGTGTGTACATGTATTTAATAGCTCTATTTGCCAAGAGGACTGGGGGCATATAAAGAATGAACTCTCCTAATACAATTACAATACAATTTTTCAAATAAACAGATTGACAATATCAGAAGAAAGACATGATTCCATGGCTGATGGGAATAGAAAATGAAGATAATCTTGAGATAGTCTGTGTTGCCAGAAAGTAAGGAGGTATTCACAAAACAATGTGGACATGTCCCAAAGAGCATAGGGGCCTGCTTGTAGATGCTACAGAATTATAGGACAATCACTAAGTAAAGAATTATTGGGATGGGCTTAATGGATAAAATTGATAACAACCCATGATGTGCACAAACAAATGATGAATACATTTTCTCTCACAGTAGAGTCCTAACCAGTAAATACAGAAGGACTGGTGCAAATGAAATGACAGCTTCCATTAGCACAGTGGTAATTGCCTAGAAGAGAACTAATAGATGCTAAATTTAGTGAGGAGAGATGTGTAAGAAGTAGGATATTCACCTATTTGTATTCACTAAGTCCAAAGGTGGAATTGCAACTTTTCAACAGGAAGCCTGGAAGCATGACCTTAATCCACATGTCTTCCGCACTCCAAAGACACATGGTTCTATCTGCTTCCCACCAAGAATGCAGCACTTGAAGTTACTCAAAAGTTACTCAAAATATTAGAAAGACCCAGGCCAAGGGCTATACTGTGGCCAGTGTTCTCCAAGACGTCACTTGAGGTTACAAAAGTGGTGTAACCACTATAACATTTCCTGTTTTTCAATAAATAGCCTCCCACTCATGCTGGGGCAACAACTCTAATTAACTCAGTGAATCACACACAAAAAGACATGAAAACGGTGGGGGGAGGAGACGTTTCTGGAAGATGAGGCTCTGGGAAGAAGGATGGGATATGAGAGATTAATGGTAGCAGAATTAACTAAAATTCATTCTATACATGTATGACACTTTCAAAGAATAAATAGCAAATTAAACTAATGCCTTGAACGCTTAATGTAACAGATGCTAGCATTGGAGAAGAGATTTCGCTGTGTGCTTAGTGCCCTCTGGCATGTCTCCCTAGTCCCCTCACTGCACTCATCATTTATTTTCCGAGGCCAAGGCAGACACTGACCTTCCCATTCTGTGTTCCCATCACAGGATAATATAAACATCGACGAGGCCACCCGGTTCCTAGTGGAAAACATCCTTGCAAACCAGCAGAACTTTCCCAGTGAAGAAAACGACATGGACAAAATTAAACTGACTGATGAGCCCCTCCCAACAAAGGCCAGGTCCCAGTGCTGCTGATGTGTTCTGCACTGGCTGCACTTTCTCCTTGGTCCTGCGTGTGTCTGAGGATACTCACCATGTCACTGTCCCCGGTGAATCTTCCCTCAGGCGTGCTTCCATCGGGCCGCACAGGACCAGCTCATGGAGGGAGATCGTGGAGAACTGTTCCCACTAGAGGCCCTGTGACTTACCAGATGAACCCTAGGCACTTTCTGTACTGCCAAATACAGACTAATGTTTACATCCTTTGAAACATTATTGGACATGAATTTCAAGTGTTAGCTTTTAGTGTAAGTACTGAAGTAGTAGAAAAACTTCCCCACAGTGTTCCTGACATTTTGAGTGTCTTTGTTCCTGTGTTTATTCTCATCTAACTCCATTTTTAAGAAACAATTTTTTTTTCTGTTAGCTATGCAGAATTGAAGATCCCATGCAGTTATTTCCTAGTCAAAACTTTGTACTTCGTATAAACTTTTTGTCCTTAAATACCATGAGTTTAAGCTGGGCTGGGTGGTGGTGGTGCTTGCCTTTAATCTCAGCACTAGGGAGGCAGAGGTAGGCTGATGTTTTTGAGTTCGAGGCCAACATGATCTACAAAGCAAATTCTTGGACAGCTAGGACAGTTACACAGGGAAACCCTGTCTCGAAAAACAAACAAGCAAGCAAAAAAAGTGATGTTCTGAAACATCTTGAGATTCCCTTTCCTAACTAATCAAAAAGTACTGAGCTGGCAGTGTGGCCCAATGAGAGAGTGCTTGCTTAGAATGTTACAGACCCTAGGTCTGCAAGGTAGAAAGTGCTTGCACCATGCCTGCATTATGGGCATCTCCCTCTGGATGCCCTCAGGTATACTTGTCACTACCACTTGGAAACAATATAAACAAACATTCCTTCTCTGCCCTCCATTCTGTGTTAGAGCCTAGAGGTACGGAAGGCCCAGCCATAGGAAGTGGAACTTGCCTTTCCAGATTTCTCATGGTCAAGGGGAGAGTTTTTTCCAAAATGTATGCAGTTATATCCAAGTTTCTCGAGTATGAAACCTGAAAGAAGGTAAACCGTGTGTATATCGTTTTTTTGTCTGTGGTTCCAGACACCGACTGTATAATGCCTAAGACGATTTAGGCAGATCTACAATATTTGAGTTGCACTTAACTCAGTGAAAATAAAGATTAAATATTTTAACCTAAGCCTGTAAGTTGAATGAATATGTTTCTAGAAAGGCACTTTAGAAAATGTTGTGTTTGACTGGGATGTTGGCCTACATCTGTAATCCTAGCATGCAGGAGACAGAGGCAAATGTGTAGAAGTTCAAGGCATCTATTGACTACATAGCAAGCTCAAGGACAGCCTGGACTACACAAGATCCTTTCTCCAAAAGGAATAAACTTTTCTTAAAACATTGATTTCTGTTGAATTTTTTAGATTTAGTTACTTTATTTGTGTCCTCTGGTTGCATTGTCCCTATGTGTATCGTGTGCGTGTGTGTGTGTGTGTGTGTGTGTGTGTGTGTGTCCTGTGGGGGTCAGAAGAGGGCACTGGATTCCCTGGAACTGGAGCTATGGATGGTTGTGAACCACCATGTCCATAATGGGAGCCCAGCCCACATCCTCTGCAAGAGCAACAAATGCTTTTACTCAATGAGCCACCTCTTGATTTTTATTTTAAGGCACTTATCACATGATGCTGTAAGTTCAGCTTCCTTAAAGAAATTTAAAGAACCTTTGTGTCCTAGTTTAAAGCTAAAACAGATGAAATACTGGACACGTTTGTCTCCTGAACCATGTGAACATGGTAGGTGAACAGTCAGCCATAAAAATAAGAAAAACATAGAAATGCTATCATTCTGGCATGTGTATCCTGAGAATAAAGGACTCACGGGTTCTTTTTTTTTCACTAAACTTACGTCTTACCTAAATGTGGCTATGTGCTATATTTTCAAATAATAAAATCATTTTAACTCTTTGGACAAGTATTCATGTAACCAGGTTTTCAGAAGTGAAGGATAACTAGGGTTTGATTGATGTGTATAATTTAATAAATCCCTTTAAGTATTTTTGTCATGTATTAAATCTCTCGTTCTAACAAATACATATCACCCAAGTGTAAAACACAGATTTATAATAGTTGATATTTCACAGCCAGTGAAAAATATATAATGTGTGGCTATCAAACCCCATTATGATGAAAACATAAAATCTATCCTAAATAAATACTGAAAGTAACTGAAATCACTTGAAAGTTTTTTGTGTGTAACACAATTTTAATTTTTACAAATAATCTACCACATTTAAATCATTTAGCAGTGGTCTTAATACTCAATTTGTTCATCTTTATAGTGTTGGTTTATGTACAGTATTCATCCAGGACAGATCCTGACAAAATTGATTTCTGTTATATCAAGTGAGACGGTTTATACTATGTACTGTTCACATTTCAGAGAAAGAATTGTTAATCTTTTGCTTTAATCTTAAACTCTTTAATGTTTTGTAACTTTAGCATAAAATTTGAAAAAAAATTGAATCGAGGCTAAATGGCATAAAAAGGACTAAATGAAAGAAAAGAATTCTTTGTTCCTCCATTCACTTTAAAAAGTAGCTATACATTTAAACATATACCCTAGCTCAGACTCTGATGTTAAGTAACCAATTAAAAGAACTATCAAGATGTTGCCAAATTTCCTGTCTGCTATGTGTGGGTCTTTAAACCCCATGTTTCTAAATGTTATCACTGAGGAACAGTGACTTTCCAATGTGTAGTTTCATTTCTTTCATTATGTCTATGAAGGATTGAATTCCTTAATGAAATTTCTCAAACATCACTTCAGACTTGCATGGTTTCTTGGAAATACACTTTTATGGAAATCCAATATCTATTTTGAAATCTCCCATGCTAATTAGTATTCAAAATTACTGAGTTTGAAATCTATAGTATGCTCAAAACACTATTAAAACATAAGGCTGTATTTCTGGGCAAATTATTGTTAGTATAAAGTCTAGGCACTTTAGACAATGGACTAAAAATATAAATTTGCTGTCACCCATTGAAGTCAATAGGTGCTTAAGGTTCTTGCTACCACTGATTAGCCATTTAATCTACATCATAGTTCTCTGTTGCTTGCTCCCAAGATTACATAAGGCCAAAATTAGTTTAAATGTGAGAAAAAGAAATCAAACTACATAAACTGTAGGGCCATTAGTGGGGAAGTATGCTAAGAAAATTCTTAAGCACTCTCAAGTGCTGAGAGCCAAGAAAACAAAAACATACATTTGATTACATAAGAATATAAATAAAGACAATGTAGACGGAATTCTAACAAGCAACAAACAAAATATTTACAACCTATTTGACTAGGTGGGGATTAAAAAGCAGGACAATGACAAATAATGAATGACAATGGGCAAAGAATGCAAAGCCAGCATGAGTGTGTAGTAATGAACCCATGTGCATTCATGCAAAGCATCCAGAGGAGGAGGGCACTGGGTGTCCTTCTGTATCATTTTCTGCCTTAGTTCCTTGAGCCAGGGTTTCCTCACTGAAGCTAAAGCGCTAAACCTTTTTTTGCTATGCCCAGCTTTTACCTAGGCTTAGATTTCCTAGGGTCCTGACATTAACTTTTGGTCTCCACATGTAGCATGTGTGCATGTCTACATTTGTACATGTAAACACGCATCTGCCCACACACAGACATTACACACAGATGCAAAAGTTAATCATCAGGAAACAAAGTAACTTCTTGCCAGATTAATAAAAAGTGTATAACTTTGATTACATTTTTTGGTTATTTCCTCGATGTTGGGATCATAGAAATAAGGCAGTCTTAGCTGTTACACTCCATTTATTAGAATAGATATTGTCAAGTTTCCTTCCCCAAGCCGCTGCTCACTTTACACACCAAGTCCATATCCTGCCAAGAAGTTGTTAGGGGAAGTATAGTTAAAAGTGGAAAACTTTTATTTTTGAATAAGTATTATCAAAAACGATGTGCACATTTCAAATAATTCATTAGAAACTGAAAAAAAAACCCAGAAAGTACCCTCACTCTTTCATTCAGTCAAGTACATAGGACATGTTAGTACAATTTCTTAAGAAAAACACAATTAGTCCAAGAATAAAACAAATTGTCATCATTGGTCAAACAGTTTGTCCTGAGCCCATCTGGAAACTGGGAGGGTTATCTGTTTTGACCAGTTATCTGAAAGGGGAGAAAAAATGAACCCATGGTGTTGTGACAAATAAGTTTGTGTCTCCTGGCAGGTTCTCACCAAAGTTAGTCCGCACCAGAAGCTGTGAGCCAAAGGTTCTCTCTTTGCTGATATCTGCATTTCAAAGAGATGGCCCCTGTGCTTGGAAAAACTGGTGAGAGGCTAACTTACAATACAAAAGGACTTCCCACATCTCAGAGGCAGCAAAGGAACTTGAAAGTTTCCAAATGCAGTATCTCAGAAAAGGGTATGGGAAGCACTGCTTCCTTCATTTTCAATAGCGGAATTAAGCCTTTCATTTTTAGTGTGTGCTTGTCCTTCCTATCAACCCCAGTTAAACACTGGCTGTGCACACAAATCTGTTAATGTTCTTAAAGATCAACAGAAGCAATATCAGGCTCACAGCAAAAATGTAAACCTATATTTGGTGAGGTATTCATGAATGCTCACATTAACGAACATTCTAGAAAAGACAATTGTACAACTCAAAGAGGCTTTATACATAAAAATTACATGTCTTTAAAATTCTGTTTTGGAAGATGATTATATAGAAGCTATGATTCAAAGACTTGAACTGTAGTTTAGTGATAGAGTGCTCAAGTGAGGGGAACAAAGCCTTGACTTCAGCCCCGATCAACATACCTACACACACACACACACACACACACACACACACACACACACAGAGAGAGAGAGAGAGAGAGAGCTGGCCCTACTTACACACTATAAATTAAGTCCACTCTAAGAAGCCATTTGAAAACCATCTAGTACCCTCTAACATTAGCATGTTCCAAAACATATCCCACTCTCCCCATGCCACACTTGCTCTAAAAGCTTAAGTGTTCATGCATTGAAAGTATTAAACGGAGTTACATCCACTGGAAGGCAGCATATGAAACTGTCTCTTGAAGGAAATGCTCATTTGGCTGAAATTTGAGGCCACATTAGATTTTCAATTTGCATTGATAAAAACTTTGCTTTTGAGTCTTGGGGGATAGCATCAGCCATGCCTATAAAACTGGGAAAGACCCTGATTGAGTCTAGCCTCCATCTCATTTCAGTCTGTCTGTCTGTCTGTCTATAAAGACTGACTTCCACGACTTTTTTTCACTGATATTTCTTTTAAATTTGAAATTAAAATAGAATCCCATTATTTCCCCCTTCCCCTTTAACCTATTGCATGTACTGCCTCCCACCTGTTCTCTCTCAAATAAATGGCCTCTTTTTCTTTGATTGTTGTTATTCCTTCCTTTTTATTGATTACAAGCTTTTAAGGTACTGTCTAAAACCTTTTTCTCCTGTGGAGAGTTAGTTCTGTAAAATGCTAGAGTGCTTTTATGCTGGCTTGATTCAGAATGATTTTCTTCTCAGGGAAGAGAGGCCAAGTTTTCACATTACTGTGTCTTTAAAATAGGGCACATAGTCTAGCTTGTCCCATGGTACTGTTTGAACATATTTACACCCATTCCTACTTAACACAGCAATGGCTAAATGGTAAGTTAAGTGCACATTGATAACAATACACAATATAGTCAAGAGTATACTTTCTGCAGACAGGAATTAAAGATAAAACAGGACCTTGATGCCAAGAGATAGAATGCACCATTTCTCAGGCACACAGAATGCTAATTGCACCATGTTCTGAAGTAGAGATTATACCTAACTAGAAATCAGCTATGGTCAAGCATTCAAACATCTCATCCTGTAGTGTAAGATGAAGCCTGATTGTTGCCATTGCTGCATTGAAAGTGTTTTGTTCTGATAGTATTCATGTATTTATATATTACAATGTCTATTTCAATGATTTCACATCACACATTACTGAACTATAAAGGGAATATGAAATAAATAATTTTCTTGGTAACAGAAAATTTTAGTCATTGTACAATTTAGTGAAGGTCTCCAATGAAGAAGAGGGTCTCTATGTATTTCAAGAGAGATCTCTGATGAAACAAACTAAAGTAAAGCCATAAACAGAACGGAATCCTCTGTGGTAATACTACCTCTGATCTGGGAAACTAAGAAGGGTTGAGCCTGGTGAGTACTTGAATAGGAAACAGGACATGCAACCAACTCCTGTGTCTACTCCCTTTTAGCTCATTACTCTTGCATGTCCTGACTTGTAAGTGACAAAGTCTACTGCAACAACTGTCTTCTACTAAAAGCATCAGTCTTACTTTTAAATCCTGTACTGGTTGATT